CGGTTTCTTCCCGTGTGTTGGGTAACAGGTAATTGGCGGGAAGAACTGGCTTGGTGCCTCGCTTGCTGCGCCACATGGGGATGAGAGCACCTTTCTTCTCCCAGTGGAGTTCCCCGGTCGAGCATCCTCCAGCACCCCCCGCAGTCAGACTTGGTGGAGCAGTCTGACGCCAGGCCCATTACTGGTGTTACCATGCCCGGAGTTTCGGTCAGCCCCTGTACTGGGCTACGTGTCCATATGGCTTGATTCCCTACAGGTAATCCCATATGTGTATTCTTCCACGATAGGTTTCCCTCTCGGTAAGCCCGTGTCTTCCCTTGACAGACCCGCTCTCTCAGTCTCTTCTGGCAGTTGTTCCATCCATACTCTAAGGTAGGATCTGCCTCAGAGACCCATTCTATATGTAGTACTGCCCTCTGGGTCAGTCCAGCTCAGTATCGCCACATGTCACCTCCCTACGGGTAGGATGTGGTCTCCGTAGTGACCTTTTCCTTAAGGCAATTGCTTATTGATACCTTAACAAATAGGGAAGATTTGAAGCAATGCTTCACTGAAGGTTGAAAGCCCTTCCAAAAACTTTTTTTGTGGACGGAACAGCAGCGTGTCCTCCTCCAGTTGTGATGTACTCATTGTTGGTCCCCTTCAGTACCAAGGTCAGTGAATTTGCACTGGGGCTTTGGGAAGGTTACGACCTTGTGGCGTTTTCCATAGACCCCTAATGTCGTCACGACATAACTCGTAGTGACCGACAGATAGTGAATGTCTTGGTTACGTATGTAACCATCAGGGAACAGAGACGTTATGTCCCCATGCCACAACCTTCAACCATTCGTTGATGCCAGGACACATTCTTGGCTCCTCAGCGTAAAACCTAATGAGTGGATGCGCGCTGTTGCCTTATATACCCGTGTGCACGGGAAGTGGCTCAGCATGCAAAATCCACTAGCCAATTTTTATTGCCGTTTTATCTTGGAATATTATTGATAAAATTATTGATTATTGGAATATTGGCACACATCAGCATGGCGCCGCAAATGGCAGCAAGGACGCTGAGCTCCGCAATTCTTCTATTGTTTTTGTTTGTTTGTTCTGTGTTTTGTCATTCTTCTTCTATAAGTTTTACCAGAGACGAACTCCTTAACATTAAGCTGCACATCCCGGACAACATTTTTCCGGTTTTTGATTATTCTGACATTTGTTGGACATTCTAGTCGGAGGTACAGCGGTGTTGTTCAAACGCGCGTGCAGATGCAAAAGAGGGAAACGCGCTGGCGCCCTGGTGAAGCTCCGCGCGCGCGGCTTTCGGACTGCGCTCCCTGCTGCTGCACTGTGCTTCAGTGAAACCTGGCTGAGTGAAGCCATTCCGGACAACGCGCTTCATCTGCCGGGCTACCAGCTGTTCAGAGCGGATCGCATCGCGGAGTTAACGGGGAAAACCAGAGGTGGTGGATTGTGTTTCTACATCAACGAAAGTTGGTGTTCAGATGTAACAATGCTGAAAAAGGTATGCTGTCCTAATTTAGAGGCACTCATCATAAGCCGTAAACCTTTCTACTCGCCATGGGAGTTTTCCTCTTTAATTCTCGTGAATGTGTACGTGCCTCCAGACGCGTGCGTGAACACCGCGATGCAACAGCTGGCCGAACAAATAACTGAAATGGAGCAAAGGTACCCAGACTCTATTTTAATCATTCTTGGAGACTTTAACAAATCAAATCTCTCCCGTGAACTGCCAAAATACAAGCAGCACATTACGTGTCCCACCAGAGACAGCACTATTTTGGATCACTGTTACACAGCAATAAAGGATGCATATCACTCTGTCCCACGAGCAGCTTTGGGGCTCTCTGATCACTGTTTAGTTCATCTAATACCGACCTACAGGCAGAAACTGAAATCAGCTAAACCTGTATTAAGGACTGTAAAAAGATGGACTAATGAAGCAGAGCAGGATTTACAAGCTTGTTTTGACCTCACTGATTGGAGCGTCTTTGAAGCTGCTGCCACCGATCTGGACGAACTCACAGAGACTGTAACATCTTATCAAGAGACTACAACGGACAGTCAGGACTGCTGAGAGGATTATTGGTGCCCCTCTGATCTCCAGCCTCCAAGATCTTTACATCTCCAGAGTGAGGAAAAGGGCTAAAAAAATCACCTTGGACCCCTCACACCCAGCCCACTCTCTCTTCGAACTGTTGCCTTCTGGTCGGCGCTACAGAGCACTGACCACCAGAACAGCCAGGCACAAGAACAGTTTTTTCCCACAGGCTATACTCAGTCTTAACAATTAAGCTTTCATAATTATACATCGTCCATCACAACTAACATAGTATATTTATATTAAACTGCACACTTTGTAAATAACATATCTGCACACTAATAAACATATCTGTACATTTATCTAAACAATTACATTTTTTCCTATACTTCTATTTCTGTATATAGTACATTATTACATTTTTCTATTTTGTTTTATTATATTAGTTTTATATTACATCCCTACTATGTTATTCCTATGTATGTCTACACTATCATGTATGTCTGCACTATGTTTGTACTTTCTTCTACACTGGAAGCTCCTGTCGTCAAGTCAAATTCCTTGTGTGTGTAAACATACTTGGTAATAAAGCTCTTCTGATTCTGATTCTGATTCTGATCTTAAACTCAGAGATGATTGGGCTCCCAAGTTAGACCCCTAATGTCGTCCCAACATAACGTCTTCGTTCCCTCCATCAGGGAATGAGGGTTAAGTATGTAACCAAGACGTTCTGTCAACTGATTCAAATCTAATTGTATCTAGTTAATGACATGATATGCCGATTAACTGATAAAATTAATTGTAATATTTACAGAGAAATGCCTGCAAATGAAGATAATTCAAAGACCACATTATTGTGGTAGACAAAATAATTGAATATACAAAATGTTTACAAAAGTTCATTTCAACGAACACCACTGGACCACAACTCCACAGTTATCTATTCTGCAACCAAGCTGTCAATCAGTCTTTGTCAAGGTAGGCCTAGAGGCTTTTCAAATAGGATGTGCTTTTGCATTCAGCTTGTGATCTTAAAATGTTTTTTTATAATAACAACATATTTTTTTAATTCCTTACTTATTCTGTGATGTCTGCTCTCAAAGAGTGTGGTTTTGTGGTAGCAGCTAGGGCTGCAATGACTGTATGCTAACAAAACATGAAGGTAGTACTGTAAACATAAATTGTTCTGAAAGTAAATTATTTATATATATATATATATATATATATATGTATTGTGCTTGAAGTGGATAAAAAGAAGTGCTGGTTACCACTGACCAGCGCATAATCTAAAACACCTTCAGCCGGCATTCATTATAAATGCTCTGTAAAAAAAAAAATCATATCGGCGCCATATTTGCCGATACCGATATATTGGCGACAGACTCATATCGGCCGATAATATCGGCAAAACGATATATTGGTCGGGCTCTATTATATAGTGTCATTATAAGACACCCAGACACTGACGCTTTGACTCCGTACCAGCAACATGTCAGAAGTGCCGGTACGCATGAAAAAGTGCCAGTATGCTAAAGATTAAAATATTGAAGTGCAGTTACTGCGTACCGGTGCATCCTGGCCACTTCAAGCACTGCGTGTATGTGTATGTGTGTGTGTGTTTATATATATATATATATATATATATATAATTATGGACGGACGTACACACTGGTCTGATTAATTACGTACATTTTTTTTTATAACATTATTATTATTCAAAAAATTTATGTGTTAAACTGTCAGCACTAGTCCAAAGCACTAGCCATTGTAAACCACACAGGAAGTGGAAATGCCTGAACATAGTTCCGGTAAAACACATGCTCTTGTGCTTTTAGCAGTCATTCTTTAGCCTCTTTTGTTAGTGAGTAAACATTAGACTAATTGCCTATCTCATGTTAAATTATTTTTATGGACATTTAGAGGGCATGTAATTTCCATGGTAATAAACATTGACTTCTGTCTCCCAGACATGACTTGAATCCACTCTATAAAATTAATCTGCAATGGCAAGCTGCCAACCTCCCCTGATGTTGGTGAGCAGTTTGTCATAAAATGCTAATTGCTTATTGACCGCGACCCTATATGGAGATAAGACGGCAGGGTACACAGCCGGCATAAAGCTGCAGATATCACGGATCATTTGAAGACATGATGGGCTGAAAAGACTGCTTGAAAGTGCAGAATTTTGCTCGTAGCTCAATTTAAATTTTCTATCAAAGCAAATGTTCACTTAGATCTTTAGGTTAGGATGCCACAAATATCTTATTTTGTGTTCCACATAAAGTCAGTCATACAGGTTTGTAAATGATTAAGTTTTTGGGGGAGGGAGGGGGAACCCTTTAATGTTTTCATAAAGTTAAAGAATGTTATGTGTTAAAAACCATGTAAAGTCCAGCAACAGCCTTTGTGGCATGCTTTTATATATATATATATATATATATATATATATATATGCATAACAGTATATAAATACGTATATATATGCTACTACAGATATTCCCGGGTATTCTTTGTTGTCACTGTGTCACAGTAAAAGCAGGCATGATAAACAATGATGTTTAATGATAGACAATAAAGTACAAAAAAAAATAAAGCTGCAAGCAGTGATGAAAGGGCCCTTGCACCACCAGCAGCCTTAGGAAAACAGTGAACGGTGGGCAATATGCATTGAAGTGGGTAAATAAAGGAGGTATCAAAAATAAAGGGCTGAAGTTGCGCAAAGCTAGAAAAAAGGCCTTCATCTATGAGAAGCATAGAATAGCCAGGCTGAGATTTGAAAAAGACCATACAGATTAGATCTTATCTGATGAGTCCAATCTCTGGAGAGGCCTACAAACCACAGTGTCCAGTACCCTCTGTGAAATTTGGTGGAGGATCGGTGATTACCTCGGGGTGCTCCATCAAGGTGTGGATGGAGGACCACCAGATCAAGACCCTGTCATGGCTAGCCCAATCTGACTCATACTGTACATGCACTGTTAGTGTATGACTGTCAAATGCTCCTTAATATAAAGAGCTCAGTTGAAGTTTTATCAAGCACTGCTTTGAGGGGATCTAATTTTAATTGTCCACCTCCACCTTTTATAACGTCTATTCCTGCCTGCTTGTGCTGGTCGCTATGGGATTTCACTGGGAGGAAATGCCGCCGACAGAGGGGAAAGCGGGGAGGAATTGCATTCAAGCTAAAGCTATGTTTATCAAGTTTACCGGCGCACTATCCTTGCCTGGATTACTCTGGTTTTGGGTTGGACAGTGGCCGTACTATTTCGCCGCGACCCCTGGAGTTTATTCATCAGTGTGTTCAGCAAGAAATCCCGAATGTTTCACATGGCTCTTATCAGTACCGGTTGTCTTTTCGTTCACGACGAGAAGGAGTCAATCATGGAAATCTTCGTCCATTGAGACGTGCGATACAGCCGGTTGGTGAGTCAACATGGGTCAAGATGGCCCTGGTAAAAGCTCAATCTCTGGTGAACAAGACATTTATTTTGCATGATTTTCTCACTTCAAATGATTTGGATTTTTTATTTGTGACTGAGACCTGGTTGACTGCGGGTGATTTGAGTCCTTTCTCTGATCTTGTGCCTTCAAATTGTACTTTTATAAACTGTCCAAGAACTACTGGAAAGGTTGGCGTGCTGGAGAACACAGTGGAGCCAGACGAGCAGGAAAACATGGTGGAGCCGGTGAAGCTGGAGACCACCAGGGCAGAACTGAAACATAGAACACAGAGAGATTATTGGCGGCCTCAATGGCTGTGACAGAGAGCTCAGAGAGTTCAAAGAAGGAAAAAAAGAGCAGAACAGACAAAGAGTTCAGGGACAGGCTCTGTGATTGTGTCAAAGCAGAAAGAGAATTCAAGAGCAAGTGCTGCCGCCTCAGGAGAAGCTGTAGTGGATGCCACTGCCTCGGGAGGAGCCGAAGAAGTGTGTGCAGCCCAAACACACAAGATGGTGGTAGCATCAAAGTAAGCGACCTTAGACTACCGGCTTGAGACTAGGCCTGTCGCGATAATTAAATAACCGTCTAATCGCAATTATGTGATCTAACCGTGGTTGTTTCAGACAACCACGATTATTGTGCTTTTTATACGGCACAAGGGGGAGTCATACACCAAAAGAAACAGAAGAGCACCAGTTTGGTTTTCATGCACTGCATAGCCTATATCATCTGAAGCCATTCCATATCTTAATGTGAGGGGCAGAATTATATTTACATCATTACATTTATTCTAAATCTTCCTTCTGCTGCAGCTGTCAGTTATTCTCTGCTCAGCATTCAAACAGCATGTCACATTCAGTTATGACAGTCAGCATGGTAAAACTCTCTCCTAAGATGATATATTCCCATTATAATACTTGATGTGTAGATAAAGGTCTGGGGATTCGCATAAAATTACATCTTGCTGGAGTTCATTGCTCTCTCATTTCTCTTCTCTTTGTTTGTACCATGTGGAGTGCAGCGTGCTGTGACTTATGTTGCTTCAAGTGCACCATTCTGCACCCTGGATATGCACAAGAGCTTTGTGCCGCTCTGCTTCCGTTTTGCACACAGAAAGATTTTTAGAAGCTTTTATTTTTCTCATGATTTCGATCTTATTTTCATGTATGTATTTTGTAAGAATACAAATAGTTAACAGTATAAACGTTTAAATTGTATAATGTGCACCAAAGATTTTTGTCAAGATATTGTTTTTGCTGCTAAATTATACAGTCAGCTAGTTTAATTTCATATCTTATATATTTTTATTCAAATTTAGTTTTTCTCTGTAAAGAGGAAATGAGTATTTAGTGGATTGTGTTTAACAAAGGGTTTAAAAAAGAGTGACCATTAGTTCTGCAAACACAGTATTGATATTCTGTAGTGGTGTAGAAAAAAACCAGCGCTGGTGTTGAATCGTTATTGGCCGATTCTTAGAATTTGGAATACCCTACCTAATCTTACACTGCAAAATAATAACTAAAAAAAGATTAAAAGATAACATCATAATTACTGAACCCTTAAATTAAGCACAGTTATATAATAAAAAAACAGACAATTAATCATGATAATCAGCTTAATCATCATAAACACCAAAGCCCTAAAACAGACAATTAATCTCAATAACCGTGACTATTTTTAGACACATAATCGTCAGCCAAATTTCATAATTGTGACAGCCCTACTTGAGACCCCCAGGCGAGGAAGAGCAGAGACCACCAGACTTTGATGTGCTGAGACCACTGTACTCAGGACCACAAGACTTGGATGCGCTGAGAGCACTGGATTTGAGACTACCAGACTTGGAAGCATTGAGACCCGTGGTGGGCCAAGTTCCACGGCCACCAGAGCTTGACGCACACAATCCCCTACAATACATTGACAATACACCAACAATACATCCAACAATAGACAAGGCCTGACAAAGAATATGGGAAAACACTGGGGTTTAAATACACAAGATAACAAGGGGCTAACATGGGACAGGTAAAGGTGATTAATCGTCATGGAACCATACATGGGTAACTATTGGAAATAAAAAGGAACATGTAACAAACATGAACTCCACTGGACAAGACGATATGGCAAACACCCAACGCAAACACAGGATATAAATATGCAAGGACAAGCTACAGGTAAGGTGTCTGATAGCTGATGAGTGTTGCTAGTCAACACCGTCCAGCAGCTCTGACCACACCTATGTCACATTAGGGAGACAGACATAAACCTGCAAACATCCAGACAACTCATACTTTGATTGCAGTAAGCACATTTTACTTAATGGAAGACTAAAGAGCTGTTAATGATAATGCAAACTAATGTTAAAGTGAAAAAAATTAAAATAATGTGAGACAAATAAGCTACATGACTTTATAATCTAAGTCAAAGGTCTTCAACCCTGCTCCTAGGGAACCACTGTTCTGCAAAGTTTCTTTCCAACCTGTATCAGCACACCTGGCCTGTGACTTTTCAAGTTATCCTGAAGACCTTGATTAGTTGGTTCAGGTGTGTTTGATTAGGGTTAGAGATGAACTCTGCAGGAAGTGGGCCCCCAGGAGCAGGATTGAAGACTTAGATTATAAGTATTTAAGGGGGAAATTGTATATATCTCTTCTACCATCTACACACACACACACACACACAAAAACATTAGGTGAAGCTCTTTCTGATAAGCAAAGGTTTTGTGAAGGTATTGATTTTAAATAGCATTTTTTACACTCATGTTTTGTTGCCATGTTAAAGAGAAGCAGTGATTCAAGTGTTCTTTTACATAAAAAAAAAACAGAGCAATAAATCAAATGAAGAATAGGCTAAAGACATCTTAAGGCTAATCCACACCCGCACTGACAGATGCCAACAAACGGCAATAGACAGTTTTGTCGGGTTTTGTCTGATCAGTGTGTTACCCTTGTCTGTTGGCATTGGTCTGCACTTGTTTTTGCCAACTGAACATGTTGAATCAGCGTTTGTCGGTCTTGGAATGTCTGAGAAGTGACAACCTGTACTCTATCAGCTGTCAGGGTTGGTCTGCGTCTGTCGGTGCAGTATGAATGGGCCTTTAAATACAAAGGGATTTAGTCATTAATAGATAATGTAGGCAAATAATTTTTTAAGTATGCAAAATACTTTCAGAATAGATATTTAACATGAATGTCCCATTTTAACGGATTATTAAAAATAATTTTTATGTGTACGAGTTCATACAAATTTATGAATGGTTATAGTTCTTTAGAAATGAAAATGTTCTTGTTGTTATATGTTCTTCTGATCCATGATTTGGTTCTAGATATCATCTTTCTAAATCAAGGCCATCATTTTTTGATTGAGCCAGAAACCATAACACAAAATACCCTAGCAGCTGTATAGCAACATGCTAAATCAACACTTTGACAACCACATAGTGGGGCTGGGCGGTATGATGGTATATATCGCTACAGCGAAATAAAGTGTCTATCGTTAGAGATTTTGCTATATCGTGTGTTCCACATTATGCAAATATATCTGCGTAACACACTGCTTAAACGTTATACACCTTTTGAGTGATAAGGAAACATGCATGAATGAGAAAATAAAGAATGGTACGCACTTGGTAGAGTTATTAAGTGCAATAAGCAGTGAAAAAGAACTCAATGCGGTGCTTGCGCTGACTGACACACAGTCGAAGTGCGCGCACTGAAAGCCCCTCTCTCGACAGCATGTGATCACGAAAACAGTGTGCTTGAGTGGTCAAATACGCAAACAGTTATGTCATAATGCCCGTCGTGTTCAAGTAAGCACAGTCGGTTATATGTTAAATTAATGTAAAATAGTTGGGTGAAATCCGGATGTGTTTCAGTATATTGGATCAGTGCAGTTGGTCTTAAAGGGACAGCAGCCTTATTTACCTGCTGCTGTCTGTCACTATTAATGTTAAAGGGGTCATATGATGTTGCTAAAAAGAACATTATTTTGTGTATTTGATGTAATGAAATGTGTTTATGCGGTTTAAGGTTCAAAAAACACATTATTTTCCACATACTGTACATTATTGTTTCTCATCTATGCCCCGCCTTTCTGAAACGCGTAAATTTTTACAAAGCTCATCAGTCTGAAAAGCAAGGTGTGCTGTGATTGGCCAGCTATCCAGTGCGTTGTGATTGGCCTGTGACTGAATGGTCGCTGATTATTCTGATCAGGCCCTAACCTTCCCCGCTGTTACCCTAACAGTTACCCTAAGTATAGCCAAAACGAATATAGATGTTTACGTTAAGAAGCACCACTAATTAATGAATTAACATTAATTAATATGAAGTGTCTATGTAAACTAAGTGCAAATAGCCTGCCACTGTAAAATCCAATAGTTTACCTTACTTAGATCTAATTAGTTATCTTAACTTAGTTGTTATACTTACTTGGTTTTATTAATTTACAGCTAATTTTGGACAGCAGCCTTATTTACCTGCTGCTGTCTGTCACTATTAATGTTAAAGGGGTCATATGATGTTGCTAAAAAGAACATTATTTTGTGTATTTGATGTAATGAAATGTGTTTATGCGGTTTAAGGTTCAAAAAACACATTATTTTCCACATACTGTACATTATTGTTTCTCATCTATGCCCCGCCTTTCTGAAACGCGTAAATTTTTACAAAGCTCATCAGTCTGAAAAGCAAGGTGTGCTGTGATTGGCCAGCTATCCAGTGCGTTGTGATTGGCCTGTGACTGAATGGTCGCTGATTATTCTGATCAGGCCCTAACCTTCCCCGCTGTTACCCTAACAGTTACCCTAAGTATAGCCAAAACGAATATAGATGTTTACGTTAAGAAGCACCACTAATTAATGAATTAACATTAATTAATATGAAGTGTCTATGTAAACTAAGTGCAAATAGCCTGCCACTGTAAAATCCAATAGTTTACCTTACTTAGATCTAATTAGTTATCTTAACTTAGTTGTTATACTTACTTGGTTTTATTAATTTACAGCTAATTTTAAGGCAAATAAAACAACTTACTTGCTGCAATGAGTAGTAACTCTTACTTAAACTATTCAAGTAGTCACAAACAAAACCGATGACATTAATACACCATTAATATGCTAATGTGCAACAAAACAACAGAAGAAGAAATACGGAAGGTTAGCAAAGAGTATAGAAGACCTTAAAGAAGCACATAATTTTGGGAAAATTTCCTGTGTATTTGCTGGTAAATTACTAAGATACTTTTATAAAGATTAATGTTGATTATATACCTA